CACACACACACACACACACACACACACACACGCACGCACGCACGCACACACACACACACACACACACACACACACACAATTAATGAGATAGAAAATCTGTCCTCTCAGTGAACTCCTATGGTTGCCCTGACAAAGGGCAGACAATGAAGGATTTTAGAGCACACAGTGAGGTTTTCTAAGCTGTTATAGCAAGCTCCCTTAAAGGCTGGCTGAATCACAAATCAAACACCCACCATGAAGAAATGGCATAATCATTTGTACCATCTCCAATAATTTTGGTTTTGCAAAACACCAATGCCTTAATCATCAATACAAAAATGACATCCCAAAACAGCAGAAAAAAGGATCCTGTCTCTCACTTCCTTTTCTGAATGGACAAATGAAAGGCGTACCCTTTACCTACCTACCAAGATCCAGAATGAAGCCAGTGAATGTCTCACATCCTTCCTTCCCCACTGAGGAGAAATATACGAATTTACCTTAAATGATGAAAATCTGCCATTTGCGGTTTTGCGGCTTGACAGTCAATTTCCACTATGAGCCTAGGCATGCATATATATATATATATATATATATATATATATATATATATATATATATATGCAGACAAGCAAGATGCTGCCTCTTAGCCTGAGAAAGCATTATTTGCAAGAGCATCCCTCTCTCCTCCAAAGACTTTTCCCAGAGAACGCCTTTTCAGAATTGCTGTTGAATTACAAAGAAGTATTTATTGTATGAGGTGATTAATGATTCCTGGGGAAATTGCTATTTTCAGTGTGATTTAATTTTGCTTTACAAGTGCATGTAGTAGGGGGGTTAATAAGTTGTAGCAGCAGCTACATTGCCTCCAGAAATGCTTAGCGCCTGCTCTCTCCTTATAAAATGCACTTTATGCCAGGTTCTTCCTAACCTGGGAAGGCATGTGTATACTCCTTTCCCCATGGATTTTCTTGGCCTCTCACTTCTTTCTAAAAGCTGGCCTAACTCTAGGTAGAGAGCAGACCCCCCTGGCTTGTACTCAGTGCAGCAAGGGTGGCTGAGCCTGTGTCCCACTTGCGGAAATGGCTTTAAATCTCCTCTTACAGAAGTAGGTGAAAAACTCTCCCCTCTCCTGCATTTACTACAAACCTCCAAAACTGCTGTTTCAAGGCCAAGTGGCAGTTCTAATATTCTGTTCTATGCGGTGTGTGTGTGTGTGTGTGTGTGTGTGTGTGTGAGAGAGAGAGAGAGAGAGAGAGAGAGAGAGAGAGAGAGAGAGAGCGCTGTCAGAGGACCAAATTTCAACCAATGAACAAATACCAGGGTTACAGAGGTTGAGAGGTGAGTTTTCAGTGTTTTTTTCACCCTTGAGATCTGGAACTCAGAGAGTGCACAGACACACCCCAGGGCACTGAGGAAAGTGACCCTAATCAGGGGTTGGCTTCCTTCCAACAGTGAGCTCTTCCAAATCTACCTTGCTTAGGGTGTATTTTGGGGTGTCATTCCACTTCTTATTTCCTCAGAGGATACTTTGGAGCGTATGGGGGGGAAAGTCCACTTTACTCTAAAGGCTCTTCTTAGAGAAGCAAACAAAAATTCCCAAGCTGTGCTCAGCGAGAAGACCTTAAGACCAGCCAAAACCCAAAAAGCAATCTCAAGCCTTTGCATAAACTATTTTTTATCTCCAGGGAAACAGGCAGATGAAGTGTGAAGGTACAACAGATGCCAAGGGCCGCCTCTCTCCAAGTGTGCTCAGAGTTCACCCTGTGGAGCAGCTGCAGAAACTCCTGGGCCTCTGCTCTGCACGGTTTCAACTTTCACTGCGGGGACAGACATGTTTCTCTGCCTTACAGAGACTTGAAGCCTAAAAGCCTGGCCAAGTTTGGAAAGAAGAGGAGCCCTCTCAGGACTCAAGAGCATTCTGCTTTTTGGAACATTTCCACAGTGGGTCAAGCTTGACAAGAATTCAGATCAAGTTGAGCACACACTTATACAGACACATACAGAGGCACACATTCTGGGAGTACTAAGAATGTGACCCCAGCTCACACTGCCTACAAGGCTTCTGCACACAAGGTCAAATATCTCCACCAAGAGGAGTTGATTTTTGTTGTTTTGGTTTGATTTTTTTTGTTTTTTGTGAAAAGCTTGGAATACACACAAATCTGTCTCTTAGGCTTTTAATGTTTTTTAAAATGTTTATTCTTAGCACTTTCCTTTTTACACAGCCATATCACTTTGTACAGTTGCAAGTGGGTCTAAATGCATTTCCCTCTCCCCCAAGATTGTGCCCGAGAGTAAGACAACAATATCTCTATAACAGTATCTTAAATAAATGCAAGGAGAGGAAACTACATGCCACACCTACCATCAAGGTCTACACATTTTTGAGAATTAAATAATCTGGTGAGGTCCACAATGTCTACTCAGTAAAGCTCCTGTGAGCTGCCTTAATGTAGAAGAGGAAGGTAAGGAGCTGGGAAAGGAAGGGGCTGTTTCTTCTGCTTGTAACAAAGATACAAGTACACGTCCCCAGTCAGCACGCTGTCCAGCTGACTCAAAGGTATGTGATGACGCGTGCTTCCTCACAGGTATCCAACCCTGGCAAGGTTGTCCAGGTCAGCAGGTTGTTCCACTAGGCAGTGTCCAGGACAGATGTCCTCTTGGGGATCGCACAGACACTTACCAGGGATAATGTCTTCTTTTTGGTTATGGTTTCCACCAAGTTGAATTTTGTTTTGGTGTCTGTTATGGTTTCCTTGGAGAGGAGTGGATGAGGATAGGGGCAGGAGAGGAGAAGGGCAGGTGAGTGACAGAAACTGATTCAGGTCCCCAGATGGTTATATGGAGGAGGGAATGGGTGTGGAGGCACTAGGTAGAGGGTGGGGATGGGGGTGGGGGCTGTGAGTTTGTGCTTTTCCAGGAGGGCCGGCAGGGGCCGAGGCAGGGTTGGAAGATCGCATCTTGGTGTTGGGAAGTTTGTGGTCTTTCTTCCACTTCATTCTCCGATTCTGGAACCAGATCTTGACCTGGCGCTCAGACAGGCAGAGCGTGTGGGCGATCTCGATGCGGCGCCGCCGGGTCAGGTAGCGGTTAAAATGGAATTCCTTCTCCAGCTCCAAGACCTGCTGCCGGGTATAGGCGGTTCGAGAGCGCTTGGGCTCGCCTCCGTTATAACTGGGGTTGACTGAACGCCAGAACCCCGATAGAGAAGGCCAAGGAGGAGGGAGTGGAAGAGAAGGAGAGGAGGAGAGAGGAGATAGGGTGGGGAAGAGCAATTGGACATCATCATTATATAATAACCTGACACCAAGTTCACGCAAGATACATAAAACGGCAAAGAAAATGTTTCACAGGCTATTGACAACGGGAAACACCCGAGAGCCATAAAGAATGGTGCTGGGCATTGGGGCTGAAGAAAAGCTTCAAAGACACATGGCCCGGAGCCTCTGCCAGGGCAATTAAATTTATGGGGGCTATAATTACTGCCCTAACAGTTTGGCGTCTCGTAAATCTTGGGATAAAGGGACCCTGGGTACAAAAGGGTTCTCACGTTGGGACCAGGCTTAGGGCAGCGCGCACACACCCACAGCCATAGCGCGGGCCAGATGGGGGGTCCCCTCCCGCGCCCTGCCCCGCGCCCCCTCGCCCGCTGCCCTCCCGGCGGCGCCACATACCGGCGCTCACGTGGATCTTCTTCATCCAGGGGTACACCACGGGCTCCTTGCCCTTCGGGCCCGCCGGCCCCTGGTCCGCCAGCAGCAGCGGGCACGCGGGGGCGCTGCCCCCCGTCGCGACA